TTACTAAACTAGTCACTTCCTGCATGACTAAACTAGTCACTTCCTGCATGACTAAACTAGTCACTTCCTGCATGACTAAACTAGTCACTTCCTGCATGACTAAACTAGTCACTTCCTACATGACTAAACTAGTCACTTCCTACATGACTAAACTAGTCATTTCCTACATGACTAAACTAGTCACTTCATGCATGACTAAACTAGTCACTTCCTGCATGACTAAACTAGTCACTTCCTGCATGACTAAACTAGTCACTTCCTGCATGACTAAACTAGTCACTTCCTGCATGACTAAACTAGTCACTTCCTACATGACTAAACTAGTCACTTCCTACATGACTAAACTAGTCACTTCATGCATGACTAAACTAGTCACTTCCTGCATGACTAAACTAGTCACTTCCTGCATGACTAAACTAGTCACTTCCTGCATGACTAAACTAGTCACTTCCTGCATGACTAAACTAGTCGCTTCGTGCATGACTAAACTAGTCAATTCCTGCATGACTAAACTAGTGACTTCCTGCATGACTAAACTAGTCACTTCCTACATGACTAAACTAGTCAATTCCTGCATGACTAAACTAGTCACTTCCTGCATGACTAAACTAGTCACTTCCTGCATAAACTAGTCACTTCCTGCATGACTAAACTAGTCACTTCCTGCATAAACTAGTCACTTCCTGCATGACTAAACTAGTCACTTCCTGCATAAACTAGTCACTTCCTGCATGACTAAACTAGTCACTTCCTGCATGACTAAACTAGTCACTTCCTGCATGACTAAACTAGTCACTTCCTGCATAAACTAGTCACTTCGTGCATGACTCAACTAGTCACTTCGTGCATGACTAAACTAGTCACTTCCTGTTTGACTAAACTAGTCACTTCCTGCATGACTAAACTAGTCACTTCCTGCATGACTAAACTAGTCACTTCCTGCATGACTAAACTAGTCACTTCCTGCATTACTAGACTAGTCACTTCCTGCATGACTAAACTAGTCACTTCCTACATGACTAAACTAGTCACTTCCTGCATGACTAAACTAGTCACTTCCTACATGACTAAACTAGTCACTTCCTGCATGACTAAACTAGTCACTTCCTGCATGACTAAACTAGTCACTTCCTGCATAAACTAGTCACTTCGTGCATGACTCAACTAGTCACTTCGTGCATGACTAAACTAGTCACTTCCTGTTTGACTAAACTAGTCACTTCCTGCATGACTAAACTAGTCACTTCCTGCATGACTAAACTAGTCACTTCCTGCATGACTAAACTAGTCACTTCCTGCATTACTAGACTAGTCACTTCCTGCATGACTAAACTAGTCACTTCCTACATGACTAAACTAGTCACTTCCTGCATGACTAAACTAGTCACTCCCTGTCGCCTAGTAAAGTGCCTCGCGGGGACGCATGTTTCTCTAGAATTGTTTGAGAGCCTTCTTTGGTTACCTACATATGTCTCCTTCCTATAGGGCTGGTACGTAGGTCACCAACCAGTTCTACGGCTCAATAAAACCTGCTTGAGCCATAGAACTGTTTATTGACCAACTTACCAGCCCTATAGTCAGTGTGATGGTCTTTCAAAGTCATTGAGAGAAGAATTATGTTTTATGTCATTATACAAGAACAACTTCACTCGCATTGATAATCATACACTATTTTTTGCATACATTATGATGTTGTCATTATGGTTTTTGGATGGAATCTCTGTAAGTTTGATTGTTACCAGACGCTTTTTAGGTTGGGGCTTTGTGTTAAGGGGGGAGGGGATTTATATATATATATATATATATATATATATATATATATATATATATATATATATATATATATATATATATATATATATATATATATATATATATATATTATATATATATATATATATATATATATATATATATATATATATATATATATATATATATATATATATATATATATATATATATATATATATATATGGTTCTATGACAATTGATCGCAGACAAAATAATAATATCTCATGGACAAAATGTCTCATTTCAAAATATCTCAGTCAAAAATGTGTGCAAGTAAATATTTATATGTTATTTTTTAATTCCCTGATTAGTGAGCAAGTCATTAGTCAGTTTAAGTATAGGGGAAGTACAGAAGAGCTGTACCTAATGGTTACATAACAGCCTGCGCTTGTAGGAAATAAGGAATAACATATTCTTTATGGAGCCGGCTGTTGGGGTTTTAAATGGCCGTCCATGCGGCATGTAATGGCCGTCTATATGGGTGCAATAAAGCATATCTACTTGCAGAGACGAATTTAGTCTATTTCAGCCGTCCATGTTCGAACTTTTAGTAACAAGATTTAGTTTTAGTTCGATTTAGTAACAAGACAGAAAATTGAGGAGAAGGTGAGTACCCCGCCCCAGCCCACACCATCATCTAATGTGATAATAAATGTCCCTTTAGCTGTGATGGCCGGCCGCTAAAGTGAAGGGCCAAGTCCATTTGGTCGGGACGACGCCATCACCCGCCATTAAACCAGATCTAGCACCAGCCGCCGCGACCCATAAATGTGCAAAGACATTAACAACAAAACATTTGGAGTCATGGCAGCGATCTCTACCGGACAAACACGTCACATATCCTAATGGCCGGACAAACACTTCACATTTCTTAATGGCCGGACAAACACGTCACATGTTCAAATGGCCGGACAAACACGTCACATTTTCTTAAAGCCGGACAAACACGTCAAATTTCCTAATGGCCGGACAAAAACGTCACATTTTCTAATGGGCGGACAAACACGTCACATTTCATAATGGCCGGACAAACACGTCACATGTCCTAATGGCCGGACAAACACTTCACATTTCCTTAAAGCCGGACAAACACGTCACATTTCCTAATGGCCGGACTTCTTCTTCTTCTTCTTCTTCTTCTTCTTCGTTCTTAATTATTAGTGTTGAAGGGGACCGAGATTTATCTGCCAGTGGGTTTGAACTCGAGACTTTTGTTCGAATTCATCAACCATGAGCTTTTTGCCGACTCGACCACGCCTCCAACACAATTAAGCGTTACGTGTCAAATGGTTATGCGCCATTGAGGCCATTGACTCCGATTTCAGCCTGCTTTTCTTTTTGGATTTGCTTCCATAGCCTTTGTCCAACCAAGAACAAACTACAAGGCAGCAGTTGTTTTAATTTTGGAGTTGTCTCTCCTAGAAGAGTGGCTGTCCCCAGCTAACGAGCCTCATCTGCCCGAGGGTTCGAACTCGAGACTTTTCGGTTTAGCAACCATGAGCTTTACCGACTCGACCACGCCGACCCCAATTGCCGGACAAACACGTCACATTTCATAATGCCGGACAAACAAACACGTCACATTTTCTTATGGCCGGACAAACACGTCACATGTCCTAATGGCCGGACAAACACGTCACATTTCCTTAAAGCCAGACAAACACGTCACATTTCCTTAAAGCCAGACAAACACGTCACATGTCCTAATGGCCGGAAAACACGTCACATTTCCTAATGGCCGGACAAACACGTCACATTTTCTAATGGCCGGACAAACACGTCACATTTCATAATGGCCGGACAAACACGTCACATTTTCTAATGGCCGGACAAACACTTCACCACATTTCCTAATGGCCGGACAAACAAACACGTCACATTTCCTTAAAGCCGGACAAACACGTCACATTTCATAATGCCGGACAAACACGTCACATTTCATAATGGCCGGACAAACAAACACGTCACATTTCCTTAAAGCCGGACAAACACGTCACATTTCATAATGCCGGACAAACACGTCACATTTCATAATGGCCGGACAAACCAACACGGATTGAATGCGTCACATTACCTAATCCGCTTTTAGTCGCAAGCGGTGCCGGACATTTTAAAGGCTAACCTATGACGTCATTTGAAGCATTAAAAATGTACATTTTAAGAGCGTTTTTTCAAGCGTTTTGAATCGGTTTAACTACGTGTAAAAATGTGATTCTACGTTCGGATGACGTATGTGATCTGGAAACAGATGACGTAAGAGATCTTACAGTCAGATCACATGTTAAATATGTGTTCCTACAAACAGACGTTTCTTTGTTTAAGCCGGGGGTGGAACATTTACTCACGAGTTCTTTGTGTTTGTGTGATTACACATATGTGTATGTATGTGTGTACACGGCCGTGTGTGGCGTATGTGTGTACACGGCCGTGTGTGGTGTATATGTGTACACGTGTGTTGTGTATGTGTGTACACGGACATGTATGGTGTATCTGTATACACGGCCGTGTATGTTGTACCTGTGTACACTCCTAACTTATAACCCCTAAAGAGTGTACACGGGTATGTACAAATACTACACCATTATCATCTTTCACGTGTGATAAATACATCTTAAATTAACGCACGTCTTAAAGACATAGCTGTCAATAGTTGTCAATCAAAGCGTGAGTTATTTATACATTCTCTCACTGTTAGTTCTGGAATTAAAGGCTTTGATAATCCAGTTAATAACACACTTTTAATGGTGTTTACTACAGGAGTATAGCGGTGGCTACCCTCCGACAGGAGTATAGCGGTGGCTACCATCAGACAGGAGTATAGCGGTGGCTACCCTCAGACAGGAGTATAGCGGTGGCTACCCTCAGACAGGAGTATAGCGTTGGCTACCCTCAGACAGGAGTATAGCGGTGGCTACCCTCAGACAGGAGTATAGCGGTGGCTACCCTCAGACAGGAGTATAGCGGTGGCTACCCTCAGACAGGAGTATAGCGGTGGCTACCCTCAGACAGGAGGTATGAGGAGAGCTAGATGAGACAGAGAGGGAGAGACAGGGAGGGAGAGACAGGGAGGGAGAGACAGGGAGGGAGAGACAGGGAGGGAGAGACAGGGAGGGAGAGACAGGGAATGAGGGAGAGAGGGAGAGACAGGGAGTGAGGGATAGAGGGAGAGACAGAGAGTGAGGGAGAGACGAAGAGAAAGTACTCACCGGGCCCACGTAGGTGAATCCAGTGTCCCGGGCCACCCTGCGGGCCACCTCCGGCCCGGCATCGTGGGTCAACTCAACAAGCCAGTGGTTGGTGGACACGTCAAACTCCTTGGCCAAGCTGGGGCCACAGATGGCCCAGCACAACAGGCATAGCAAGACCTTACGGGGCCATCCGGGCAAGAAATAGCTCATGCTAGAACTAAGGGCCACGGTATGTGGAATCAACGTGGCCTGAGCAGGATTTGAACCGGGGCCGTGGTGATGTGTGTCTCAGTGCTGATGTTCAACTGCAGGTTGGTGATGGAGATGGTCGCTATGTAAACACTGAGTCTTCGTGTCCTTGCTACTGGGTCCTGCTTGTAGTTATACTTCCAAATGTCCTATGTGTATGTTCCAAATGTCCTTAAGTTCCGAATGTCCTTAAGTTCCGAATGTCCTTAAGTTCCGAATGTCCTATGTCCTTAAGTTCCAAAAGTCCCGTTCCCTAAACGTTCCAATGTGAGCCCAGAGAAAGCCTGAGTGTTCCAGTGGATCTTGGACCTAGCTGTGCTGTGTGTCGCGCCACTCTCCTGCTGTTTAGTTATGCCGGAGCCTCCCCACACAGTCTCCCCACACAGCCTGCGACCAGCCTCAGATTCCACACACAGAGGACGTGGGGGAGGGGGAGGGGGACGGTCGTGCCAAGAAAACAATAAGAGGAGGAAAATCGATGACCAGCGTCACGTGTTCCCGTGACGTCATTGGCCGAGTATAGCAGGCGTGAGTTGATCGATTTCCCAGCCTCGGCATGGTGGAATCTCGCAGTTCGATCTCGGGATCGCGGGGAGCTTTATGGTAATCGATTACTGCAGAGTTGGACTTGTAATTTCTGGCAGATTAAGTCCTTCCCATAGTCCCTCCCTGTGTACATCAACAAACGGAATCTGATGAGTACACCGCACTTACCCCTCCCTCCTCCCACTTCACTCCCTCTCTCTTGTATCTGAACACAAGCTGCAAGCTAAGCTAGAGAATCTGGTCTCCGTTCACACATCCTACTATATATATATATATATATATATATATATATATATATATATATATATATATATATATATATATATATATATATATATATATATATATATATATATATATATGCGTGTGTGTGTTATATCTGTAATGTTGTTTTGGCTAAATATAAAAAAAAAACACCAAGAAATTTGTAGCCAAATATCCTTAAGAAAATAAAACCAAGAAATGTGTGGCCAAATATCCCTGAGAAAATAAAAATAAAAATGTAGTTCCCACTTTAACCACATACACCACATGTTAACACCACACGTTAATGAGATCACCCACAAGTTGACCACATTATCCACACGTTGGCAACAGTATCTACAGGTTGACCATTTTTGCTACAAGTTGGCAACATTAACCACACTTTGACAACATCAACCACACATTGAGAATATCAACCACACATTGACAACATCAACTACACATTGACAACATCAACCACACATTGACAACATCAACCACACATTGACAACATCAACCACACTTTGACAACATCAACCACACTTTGACAACATCAACCACACATTGCCAACCTCAACCACACATTGACAACATCAACCACACATTGACAACATCAACCACACATTGACAACATCAACCACACATTGACAACATCAACCACACATTGACAACATCAACCACACATTGACAACATCAACCACACATTGACAACATCAACCACACATTGACAACATCAACCACACATTGACAACATCAACCACACATTGACAACATCAACCACACATTGACAACATCAACCACACATTGACAACATCAACCACACATTGACAACATCAACCACACTTTAACAACATCAACCACACATTGACAACATCAACCACACATTGACAACATCAACCACACATTGACAACATCAACCACACTTTAACAACATCAACCACACATCGACAACATCAACCACACATTGACAACATCAACCACATATTGACAACATCAACCACATATTGACAACATCAACCACACATCAACCACACATTGACAACATCAACCACACATTGACAACATCAACCACATATTGACAACATCAACCACACATTGACAACATCAACCACACATTGACAACATCAACCACAAATTGACAACATCATCTACCGGTTGATTACATGACCCTCTCGTTGACCAAGGTACCACAAGTTAATGAGATAGGCCAAAAGTTGACCAAAAGTTGACCAAGGTACCACAAGTTGATGAGACAATCCAAAAGTTGACCAAGGTACCACAAGTTGATGAGACAGGCCAAAAGTTGACCAAGGTACCAGAAGACAATCCAAAAGTTGACCAAGGTACCACAAGTTGATGAGACAGGTCAAAAGTTGACCAAGGTACCACAAGACAATCCAAAAGTTGACCAAGGTACCACAAGTTGATGAGACAGGTCAAAGGTTGACCAAGGTACCACAAGACAATCCAAAAGTTGACCAAGGTACCACAAGACAATCCAAAAGTTGACCAATGTACCACAAGCTGATGAGACAGGTCAAAAGTTGACCAAGGTACCACAAGCTGATGAGACAGGTCAAAAGTTGACCAAGGTACTAGAAGGCAATCCAAAAGTTGACCAAGGTACCACAAGACAATCCAAAAGTTGACCAAGGTACCACAAGTTGATGAGACAAGCCAAAAGTTGACCAAGGTACCAGAAGACAATCCAAAAGTTGACCAAGATACCACAAGTTGATGAGACAGGTCAAAAGTTGACCAAGGTACCACAAGACAATCCAAAAGTTGACCAAGGTACAGCAAGACAATCCAAAAGTTGACCAATGTACCACAAGCTGATGAGACAGGCCAAAAGTTGACCACACCACCACACACAGCAACCATACAGTGACCAACTACAGACTGACATCAAACCAGACAGGCAAATGAGATCAAGCCACACAGGATGAGATGGCTTCTAAAAGCTTTGACTGAAGAATAAATCACCTAACACTGTTGGCCGGTCGGCGAGTGATGACTAACAATTGGTCTTTCTCTGATCAGGCTGTACATTCATTTTTTTATGTGGGCGAGGTGCTAGCGACATTTCTAGTCGCATTACCAGGTGCTAGCGACATTTCTAGTCGCATTACCAGGTGCTAGCGACATTTCTAGTCGCATTATCAGGTGCTAGCGACATTTCTAGTCGCATTACCAGGTGCTAGCGACATTTCTAGTCGCAATATCAGGTGCTAGCGACATTTCTAGTCGCATTACCAGGTGCTAGCAACATTTCTAGTCACATTACCAGGTGCTAGCGACATTTCCAGTCGCATTACCAGGTGCTAGCGACATTTCCAGTCGCATTACCAGGTGCTAGCGACATTTCTAGTCACATTACCAGGTGCTAGCGACATTTCCAGTCGCATTACCAGGTGCTAGCGACATTTCTAGTCACATTACCAGGTGCTAGCGACATTTCGAATAAATTTATAGGTGCTAGCGACATTTCTAGTCGCATTACCAGGTGCTAGCGACATTTCTAGTCACATTACCAGGTGCTAGCGACATTTCGAATAAATTTACCAGGTGCTAGCGACATTTCTAGTCGCATTACCAGGTGCTAGCGACATTTCTAGTCACATTACCAGGTGCTAGCGACATTTCTAGTCACATTACCAGGTGCTAGCGACATTTCTAGTCGCATTACCAGGTGCTAGCGACATTTCTAGTCGCATTACCAGGTGCTAGAGACATTTCTAGTCGCATTACCAGGTGCTAGCGACATTTCCAGTCGCGATACCAGGTGCTAGCGACATTTCTAGTCACATTACCAGGTGCTAGCGACATTTCTAGGCGCATTACAAGGTGCTAGCGACATTTCTAGGCGCATTACCAGGTGCTAGCGACATTTCTAGTCGCATTACCAGGTGCTAGCGACATTTCTAGTCGCAATATCAGGTGCTAGCGACATTTCTAGTCGCATTACAAGGTGCTAGCGACATTTCTAGGCGCATTACCAGGTGCTAGCGACATTTCTAGTCGCATTACCAGGTGCTAGCGACATTTCTAGTCGCAATATCAGGTGCTAGCGACATTTCTAGTGGTAATTTCAAATGGGGAGGGAAATGACATAACAAAGACAGTTAACAGAGATAGCAACCTGTCAAAATACCATTTTTCTGTGTTGTAGCTGATGGTGTTCTGTGTTGTAGCTGATGGTGTCGTGGTGTTGTAGCTGATGGTGTTCTGGTGTTGTAGCTGATGGTGTTCTGTGTTGTAGCTGATGGTGTTCTGGTGTTGTAGCTGATGGTGTTCTGTGTTGTAGCTGATGGTGTTCTGTGTTGTAGCTGATGGTGTTCTGTGTTGTAGCTGATGGTGTTCTGTGTTGTAGCTGATGGTGTCGTGGTGTTGTAGCTGATGGTGTTCTGTGTTGTAGCTGATGGTGTTCTGTGTTGTAGCTGATGGTGTTCTGTGTTGTAGCTGATGGTGTCGTGGTGTTGTAGCTGATGGTGTTCTGTGTTGTATCTGATGGTGTCGTTGTGTTGTAGCTGATGGTGTTCTGTGTTGTAGCTGATGGTGTCGTGGTGTTGTAGCTGATGGTGTTCTGTGTTGTAGCTGATGGTGTTCTGTGTTGTAGCTGATGGTGTTCTGTGTTGTAGCTGATGGTGTTCTGTGTTGTAGCTGATAGTGTTCTGTGTTGTAGCTGATGGTGTCGTGGTGTTGTAGCTGATGGTGTTCTGTGTTGTAGCTGATGGTGTTCTGTGTTGTAGCTGATGGTGTTCTGTGTTGTAGCTGATGGTGTTCTGTGTTGTAGCTGATGGTGTTCTGTGTTGTAGCTGATGGTGTTCTGTGTTGTAGCTGATGGTGTCGTGGTGTTGTAGCTGATGGTGTTCTGTGTTATAGCTGACAGTGTTCTGGTGTTGTAGCTGATGGTGTCGTGGTGTTGTAGCTGATGGTGTTCTATGTTATAGCTGATGGTGTTATGTGTTGTAGCTGATGGTGTCGTGGTGTTGTAGCTGATGGTGTTCTGGTGTTGTAGCTGATGGTGTTCTGGTGTTGTAGCTGATGGTGTTCTGTGTTGTAGCTGATGGTGTTCTGGTGTTGTAGCTGATGGTGTTCTGTGTTGTAGCTGATGGTGTTCTGTGTTGTAGCTGATGGTGTTCTGTGTTGTAGCTGATGGTGTTCTGTGTTGTAGCAGATGGTGTCGTGGTGTTGTAGCTGATGGTGTTCTGTGTTGTAGCTGATGGTGTTCTGTGTTGTAGCTGATGGTGTTCTGGTGTTGTAGCTGATGTTGTTCTGTGTTGTAGCTGATGGTGTTCTGTGTTGTAGCTGATGGTGTTCTGTGTTGTAGCTGATGGTGTTCTGTGTTGTAGCTGATGGTGTCGTGGTGTTGTAGCTGATGGTGTTCTGTGTTGTAGCTGATGGTGTTCTGTGTTGTAGCTGATGGTGTTCTGTGTTGTAGCTGATGGTGTCGTGGTGTTGTAGCTGATGGTGTTCTGTGTTGTATCTGATGGTGTCGTTGTGTTGTAGCTGATGGTGTTCTGTGTTGTAGCTGATGGTGTCGTGGTGTTGTAGCTGATGGTGTTCTGTGTTGTAGCTGATGGTGTTCTGTGTTGTAGC